TATGTGAACTAAATTGTATCCTATTTATTGAATATAATACTTGAAATAAATATTTAAACATAATTATTAACAAAATACCTGTTTTCTTTGTTAAAATCTGGGACTATATGTATAGCTCTTAAAACAGATTCTAAAGGTATTATATCATATGAATCTAATAATTTCATGTATGGGCATCCTAATTTGTGCCGTTTATCCATCTTTGTATTTGCTGTTAATATCTTTTTTTTAGCTGCAATATCAGCATAATCATACCATTGAACCATAACCAATTGTAGATTCTGAAATTTATTATCATCTTCAAAAGTTATTTCTAATAATAACAAGCACTGAACAAATAAATTATAATTAAAAAATCAATTAAAATAAAAATTTGCTATATTATAGATAAATAATAAATTCATGAGTGACACATACTTTACCATACCATACCCCATTTTCACTACTGAAATGTTCTATTTGATCCTCTGAAATAAATATTTCAATATCAGAAAAGTAGCATTTTCCATGATAATTGTCATTTGTCCTTATTATTTCATCAGATATATGTGCACTTTTATAAAATATTATTTTTTTAATCCAGTCATTATTAACATTTAATTCATTTAAATAACTAGTTAATTTTTGTCTTAAATGTTTAAATCCTAGTTCATAAAATTTGTTTTCAATATATTGTGAAAAAAGCAAATTATCTATTTTTTCATAACTTATCTGAATAAATTTACTAGAAAAGGCTGTTTTTTGTGATTTGATACTTTCTTTTAATGTTTTTAAAAAGTCACCCCTACTTACCTGTATATTAAAAAATAAAAAATTAATAATTGTAATTATGCATTATTGTATTTATGTTAAAAAACAGAATGAAATTCCTTTACAGAAAAAAGTGTTCTATTTTTTTAAAGATTATACACAAAATTCCTCTTACTCAAAAATAATATGTCAAAATACCTTTTTTAATATTTGCTCCATTTCATTTTTTTTATTTGAGAATTTATATGGATCTTTCACATAAAATTTATGTAGGAATTCATATGTCTCTGTAGTATATCCATTAATTGCACCAAAATTCTTAATCATTGAGCTGGTATGTGACATCCATGTATGAAATTTGGGTAGTTTCAGATTAGAAGGTGAATATTTTGAAAATAATTCTAAGAATCCAATTGCCCATGTTTTTTTTAATTTCTTTTGTTTATTATTATTATCATTATCATTATCATTATTATTATTATTATTATTTACCATTGTTAATTACGATAAAAAAAAATTCTTACTCTACCTCAAATAATTTGATATCATCATCAGTAAAATAATCATTTTTACTTAGCATGTACATTTTATTAAAATCTACAAAATTATCTGCAAGTTCTTCTTGGCCCAATCCATGAATTACAAATGGCATGACTTTCATCAAGTCCCTGTATTCATTGGCTGTCACATTACTGATTTTAAATATTCCTTTATCAAAAATCTTCAAACCTTTAAATTTTGGAATCAGTGACAATCTATAATTTATTAAATTTATAGTATCTGGATTGTGAACGAATGTTTTTTCTGTGTACTCTATCATTCTTTTAAAAAGACCTAGATCAAGCTGATGCATTCGATCTGCCATGCAAGCTCCATAAATATTTTTGCTGCAAATTGAAATAAAGTTAATAATCTAAATTAAGATAAAATAGTAAAATAATATCCTCACGAATGATCCCAGAAAATATTTTCCAATGGAAAGATAGAATGGTATTTATCATCATTATCTAATATTGCCTTTTTCATATTAGCATGGTTTCTAATAGAAAATTTTTCATCAATATTATCTAACTCATCTTGTAGAACTTTGCAGCTATAACAAGGCATATTGCAATTATATGATTTATAAGTTAAGCAATATGAACTGGCTTCTGGCAAATCTGAAATTATACATGATAATTTGATGACAACCTTTTTTACATTATTACCCAAATTGATTAAAGTCCCAGTATTATATTGATTTAGCAAAGGAGTAAACAATATTTTCATGCAATCCTGGAAACAAGTTCTTTTGATTTCTGAATACAATTCTTTTAATCGATTTGATGAAAGTTCCAAACCAGACTCATCTGGAATTGTTTCTATTATTGGCAAATATCCTAATAATGTTTTTGCATTCAATGAATTTCTAATTTTAAAAGGCAAGTTTCCAAGTGTTAAATATATTGGATGCATTATTTTTTTCCCAAATTTATCACAAGTTGTTGCATCTGAATAAAGAATCATTGATAGCAAAGAAGTGTCTTTAGGTAGTTCAATGACATTTTGTTGCCACCAATTACATTCATATTGCTCACCAAAAATTTTCTAGAGTAAATAAAAAAAAACCTTTAATTTAAAAAATTTGATATAATTGAATAAAATAAATTACCTTTCCATCAATATAATTATCTTCATAATCCCAATGGCATTTTTCCAAAACATCTTGTCGCTGTAAAATTTCTTCTATAGCAGAAATTATATCTTGATAATGAAAATCAAATGATTTACCCTTAATTAACAAATTTTCTTTTTTAAATTTGGATTTACTTTTTTGAGTTTTTTCAAACTGTTTTACTGCACCAGATGTTGAAGATGGCAAGTTTAATTCTGGTGCATATTTTTTTATAAATTTTAAAATAGCATTTCCAGTTTTAAAAGTAATTTGGTTTTTATAAATCTATAAAATTTAAATTTTTTTAAAAAATTGTTAATTCTGTAATTCATTAATTTGTTTTAAAAGTTACCAATTGTACAAAATCATAGCATTCCTCAGATATTAAATTATATGGCATCTGAAAATTATTTTTATCTTCTTTGTCAAATTGTTGCATGAAAACATTGTTTTCTTGTCTGTTATTAAAATCATCATTTAAATCACTATCTTGACTTGAATATCTTTCATCCAAGTAATTTTCTTCCTGACTTTTAAAACCTTCATCCTCACCAATCATATCATTCTCATCTTCAATAATCATATCATTCTTATCCTTGCCTGTGATGTGATTTCCTTCATTCTCCTCATTCATGTCTCTTTCACTCGCATCATTTTCATCAATATTTAAAGAAATATTTTTATGTACAGTTAAATGTCTACCATAATTTATTTTTTTGGCAAAATTTTCTCCACAAAAAATACATTCATACATATTTGAAATATTGAAAAATTTTATATTTGATAAAATTATTGCAAATGGGTATATATAAGGACAAATGAAGTGAGTTTGTACCACATACGTGAATATTAAACATCCTTTTCATTTGTATATACCATAAAGATTGTGATAGATTATCATTCAACATTCATAAACTTGTTAACTTGCTTAAACAAGTTGCAAGATTGGTGAATTGAGAATTATAATTTATTCCAATTTTTTTTAAATGGAGTAGGACAGTAGAATAATAATAATAATGATAATAGATAAACACACAATGTTTTTTTATTATCTACCTTTTTTATCTATATAAATTTACTGGCAAAGATTGTTGACTTTGATCTGATTGTAATATTGTCAATGAAAGTTAAGAGTAATAATGATTATGATGATATTAAAAAAGGTAACTAACTACAAGTAACAGTAATGATAATTGGCACACCCGCATAACAATTACGCCAGTAATAGTGATGAGCTAGATCCGCGTAACCATAAGAATAACTCGCGTTTTTATTTTTATTTTTTTTAAACATGACTAGCAGGAAAAAAATCACCAAAACCTCTACTCATAACCGTGGGTTATCATATAATTTGTCAAATTACCAGAATACTCTTAATAATAATTCATCAACTCATAGCACTGGCAATGATAATTCTAATAATTTATCATCAAATACTAATAAAAGAAAACCATCTACAATTGATCTTGAAGTAGATGATACTGGTTATGATTATTATTGTGATGAAGATAGTACTGATAAAAATAATCGTGAAGATTTTGCAAGATTAGAAGGTTTAATTTTAGGTAATAATCTTTATTTTACTTATTTATCATATTATTCAATAATTGACAAGTTTTATAATAATAGAAATTGGCAACAAGGTTGATTTATTATCAAGTAAACTTGATACATTTTCAGAGAAATTTAAACTAGCTGATTACACAAATAATAATAATTCTAGTGTGATGATTAGTGAGGATATGAAAAAATTACTAAAAGATTCAATTCGGAGAAATTTGTTTGTTTATGAAAAATATCCAGGTGATTTTAAAGTTGAAAAATACTGTAAAGAATTGTTTAATAAAACATTTCCAGAAAATCAAAATTATAAAGAAAAGCAATTATGGGATAACGTATGGTGTAAACTGAGACCTTCTGTAAGTAATTTATTATTTATATATATATTCATGTAAATATTCTACTGAATACTGTGCTGACATTTGATATACTTAAAAAAAATTATATTTTTAATGAAAATATAATTTTCTTTTCTCATTTCTAATATGTATGACAATGAGTTCATCTGATTTTAATATAACACATTACTAATATATTAAAAAAACAATCATTAATATTTAATAATTAAATCAAGGCTTTGGATATTGTGAGGGTAATTAGAGGAAATAGCGTTTTTAGGATCAAAAGTGCTTTATACCACAAATTTTCAGATCTACCAAGAATTAATAATGATGCACCACTTAATGAGATTATTCAAGTAAATCAATTTTATTTTTATATTAATTAATTATAAACAAAATTAATCAATTAATCTTTTTTTATAGTGGAAAAATGCAGAAATTACAACAACTGTCTTGGAATTATTAGAAAAAAAGGAGCCAGAAGATGATAGGTCCTTCCTGGAAAACATTACTCGTGAAGCTTTTCAAAAAGATAAAGGTTTAACTAAGGGGTCCAACAGAGCATTCACATGGGCAGTAATCAATGTTTTTTTGGGATTACAAAATCATACATTATCTTTAGATGAAAAAGCCATTAAACCTTTGATGGATAGTTACAATGTAAGATTATTTTAATTGTTTCACATTACTTAGCAAGTTTGTTGGGTATAATAACTAATACATATTATTATCAATATTATCTTTACTCAATTACATTACTAGAGTGAAAATAATACTTCATAATTATAATATTAGTAGAATAGATTGATCAGTGAAGATTTTTTGAAATACACATACTATAATAAAATTTATCTTTTAAAAAATTGATTTTAATTTTATTTTCCCCAATTATAAGTGTAAATTGGTTAATATTTTAAATTATCAACAAACATTAAAACCTTCATAACGACAATATGCGATTTTTTAATATAATGAATGATGGAATTGTAGCTTCAAAATGAACCTAAGATTGTCAATATATTCCCAAAATTGACTTCATGAGTTTTTTTAAATAATTTCACAATCAAACTTTCAACGAATTATAATTAAATTTGTGTTACAATGAATTTTTGCTTCACATATAAAACTTTGTTGCAAAACCTGGAAAATAATTCACAGATTAAAGGGGTCTGATGTAATTAATAAAAAAAATTATTTATCAAACATTTTTTTTTGCAACCAAAAAAAATTCCTTCTCATGTATGCATGTGAATTTATTATTTTTTCTTAAAACAAATTAAAAAAAATGTAGCAATCTGCCACAATGTAACATGATGTTAGCATTTGGCACAATTGTACATACATTTAGAAAAGAAAAAGAACCAAATATTGCTTAATCAATGAATGTAGCAATCTGCCACAATGTAACATGATGTTAGCATTTGGCACAATTGTACATACATTTAATAAGACTAAATAATGAGGTGGTGTTTAATTGGAAAATTTAAAAAAAAAAATAATACTATTAATTATGTTTCTACAGCAAGTAATTTGAGTTTTTCCTTAGACTGGAGTATCAGGAGGTGTTGGTTGTATTATCCTGAGTGAGCTTTTCAAAAATTTGGCAGCTTCTGTTGTTGCAGTAGTTGCTTTTTCATTTTTTATTATTTTTAATTTAATGTCTAATTTTTCAATCATGTGAACTACACCATTTAATGAAATCTAGTGTAATCAATTCAATTAATCATATTTAGATAGAATTGAAATTATTAATTAATAAATCAGCACTTAGTACTTACAAAAAAGCTACATAAAAGCTTAAATAGATCAAGTAACTTCACATCATTATCTCCAGATGATGTTCTATTGAAGATTGGTATTGTTGGAGATTCTAATTTCTTTACACGTCTACACCTATATACCCCAGAGTATGGATGGTCAACAACATATAACCTCCATTCTTTCTCTATAATAATACAATCATTATTATTTATTATTTAATAAGTTTTACCAAAAAAAAAATACTTACGATATATTAATAAAAAAAAGACTTGTAAGTTCATCATTAAAAATTCAACATCATCAAATGTCAGGACATTGTAATATTCATCAATAAATATATTGATTATGAAATTTAGCATGTCAACAGACAATCTTTTCCCTTTAATTTTGTCCTTCTTATATTTGACATTATCAATGTATTCAGGAACACCTACAACCTCACAAACAAATATATCATAATAATTTAATAAATCATCACCACTGCTCACTAAAACATCTGAACGTCTCCCTTTATTAGATCTTGTGGAGTTGGGATCATTTTTAGAGTATCCATCTTTTTTTCGTTTGGCAGATCCTAACACAGTAACTTCACCCCTAAATAATAAATAATTTAAATAGTTTTCTTAAAAAATTTTTAAATGGCTAAATATTTACTTACATTAATATTGTAATATTGATGTTATTAAATATTTTTTTAATTATCTTTAAAAACTTTAAAATGACATCTGTTATATATTGTGGTTCAGGTTGTCTTGAGCAATAGTTAACATTGGTGATCATTTTTTTACTAATATATAAAATAATATTTAGTTTTAATTAAATTATGTAAAATTATAAAAAATCATATATATTAATTACTATTTTTTTGTCACATGATAAAAAATTTTTTTTTCAATAGAATTTATGTCTGGCATTGGGATGATGCTGTTGGGATTTTTTAATGAATTGATTAGGTCACCTAAATACTCATAATGTTCAACAGGAATCATATATTTTGAAATACTATGAAGTGGGAAAAAGATGGCCCAGTCTTCGACATTTATAAAACTATCATTATTAAATATAAAAATTATTATTTCAATGGTGATTTTAAAAACACTTTTTAAAAAAGTTGACAGAACCTTACTTTTTGTCTATATGTTTATGTTTTGCTTCTACAATGGAATTCCCCAAAGGGCTGTAAAAATTTTTTTTTTAAATTCAACATTTGAAAATAAAATTATTAATTGAAAATAAAATTATTAATTGAAAATAAAATTATTAAATTGAAAATAAAAGATAAATACTGATTCCAAGGGTGATTTCTCAAAGTGTCCAACAAATCACTATAACATTTTTCTTTATTAGCTGAATGCCATTTAAGCCTCTATAAAAAAATTTTATTTTATTATTAAAAAAAATTAGATATATAAATATAAACAATATAAATTCTTATACATTGAAATCTATGTCAACTGATAAAATTTGCTTTCTTCCATTTAAGTTTGACAAATAATTTTCAAGATCATCAATATAACAATTCAATGTAGAAATATTGGTGGTGGTTTCTGCTTTCATCATTAGTCCATCCCAAAATCCATTTGAGAAATTAGTACTTCTATATTCTATTCCCGCCCACCACCCTTCTACTTTGTCATTATTTTCCTTTTATTAAATATTTAAAAAGCAAAATTTTTATCAAAGATTGATTATTTGTTATATTAATAAAATACAGGCAATTAAAATATTAATAAAATGTTTTACCCAGTTTCTTACGTCAGAACATTTTTCTTTTAATTTATTATAAAAAAAACAATGTTCTTGTTTTTTGTCTGTAAATTTTGAGGAATTATATTTGTACCTAAATTTTACATAGTCATATAAATTCCATTCAGAATCATTAGTTTCAAGAAAGTAATTGCGAATCAAATTATTATTTGTTGACATTTTTTAATGTGCACTTACAAGATACAAAAAGAGATATAATCATTATATATATACAAAGGCAATTAAACACTAATACAAGTGAAAACAGGATTTTTAACCTTTTTTTTTTTAATTAAAACATTTAAGAAATGTGGAACCCATATAGGGTTTCTATTCGTAATACAAATTCTTATTCGTAATAATAAATCCTAATTCGAATTCGAATTAATCGTTTTTATTTTGTTCGAATTATTATTATTATTATTATTATTATTATTATTATTATTTCATTCTATTCGAATTAAAAAATTTATTTGAATTATCATTTGTTTGTTTTAATTTGTTTTATTTGAATTATTCGGTTTATCTGTTTTATTTGAATTTTTGTTTTATTCATTTTATAAAATATAGGTCTTATTTCTTTAACAGGATAATATAATAAATTACAATAATTACATTTATAATCTATATTACTATTACTATGGTTGCTAGTAAGTACTATGAGAAAAGAAAAATGTCAGCTACTACTACTACTACTATTTATTTATTAATACAAGGACTAATAGGAAAAATAGATTGAAAAAAATTTAATTTGGACCAGATTAGCAATGTGCATATTAAACACAAATTAAAACAAGTATATTAACATTTAATATTAATAGTAATATATAAATAGTAATGTGTATCAGCTGGCATCGCGTAAATACTATTTTTAGAACGTCAATCGTTACAATATTTGGAAATTCCATTGTTACTACACCCGCCATAAACGAGTGGCTGTAAACGGCAGAAGTGGCTTTAGTGGCAAATACAAAAGAGAAGTCACAGTTTTCTTGATTAAAAAACTTAGATTCAATAGATTCAGATGAAATTTCCATATAAATACTATAAATAAATAAAATAAGGCCATTACATTTTTAGTATTAATATAACAAGCCACTGGCTGTTATTTTTGGATTCTAAGGAAAAGACCAACTTGTCAAATAAATGGAAAACATAAAAATAATTAAATGTTAAAAAAGTTTATATTTTATCAATACATACTATATATCCCCTACTTTAACAGATAATTAACTAAAATCTATAGTGTTGATGAGTATTACCTTTCGAATCTCTAAATTTTTTATTTTTTATTTGTGCCACCATTGTATTTGATTGTCGATCTTTTTCTTTACAATGTTATGACTTTCTGGTGCGGGAGCTGGATTTAAAATTATTTGAGCTAATGAAATGACAAAACCATTTGAGAAACTTAATGAAATACTGGAATGTGATGGTATTATTGGTGGACTGCCTTGTCAAAGTTGGTCATTAGCCGGAAGCAAAAAGGGAAAAAGAGGAATTAGTGATAAGAGAGGGAAATTAATCCAGATGCTGGTCGCAATTCTTGGTGATGGTTGCAACCATATTTGCAACATATAAAAATGGTTTGCGACACCTGGTTTGCGACCACTTTGGTTTCCTTTTTTGGATTGCGACATGGAACACTACCATGAATACTTGTGAATTGTAAGAGCAAGAATAGATTTTTATTTAGTTAAAAATGTAGCAATTACACATTAAGCAACAATCACTTGTCAAGTTGATTTACAATAAACAAAATAATAATAGAACAACTCTTGTTTGCTTTATCAAAAGTTATGGTATGATTGTTTAGGAATATACTACAGGCAAGACAGTAATAACATTTATCTTTTAAATAATTTTCTTCATATTAAAACATTTGAACATTAATATT